GGAGAAGAAGAATTTCCCAACAGCTGCACTGGTAGCTGCCAGTTTCTGGTCCTGCATTTCTAGGACTCCAACATATTTTGCCTGGAAACCTTTTTGCAGATCCTGTTTGATTGCTTTATTTATGCTGGATATGGAGCCCAGCCCCAGCAAAGCAAGCAGTTCACAGATTGAATACATTACATACATCACGTTATATACATCACCAGCCCAAATCCAAACTTGAAACACAGTAAGGGAGATGTAAGGACATGAGGACAGGTGTACATTTATCTGAATGCAAAGTGTTAGACCAGAAACTGATTCCTCAGATTCTGTTGGAGTTTTCTGGGTGTTTAATATCTTACCAGAGCACAAACAATATAAATTATGTGAATGTGTTTATAAAAAATATTTTCACCTCAAGAAGTTTCTTCCTCAGCATTCAGGCAACAGAAGTTTTCATTAAAATCTTGTGTAACTTTCTTGGTGTCCAGTGATCCAAATGGACTAATGCTCCAGGTCAGGATTATCTTTTGGGACTTTGTTTATTTAAATACAGTCAGAATTTGTGTCTGGACTAAAAGAAAAAGGCAGTAGGGTTGTAACAAGATGGCAATGTGAATGAATATATCAGAGACAGAACAACCCTTCCCTTTGGCTGCACTTCCTTGACAAAACCTTCAGCCTTAGCAAGAAGGCAAGGAGTTTCATTTGCTGTATAGAAAGACAGGCAAAGAATTACTTCCTAAGAGCTGACATTAAAAAGTTGTCTGTAACTGAACAGATTTCTGAAACCCTGACAATGGAAGTGCTTAAAGCCCTGTGCTGCAGGTCACTATTCCTCTCTAGTGCACAGGAGCTGTTGTACCCCGCCTTTCATTGATTTACCATTACTGAACGGATTCCTCATTTTAACAAAACATATTGTTATATTCCAGATAAGTCTTTGACAATTCTTTACACTAACCTATGGAATTCAATTGCCACCATTAATTTCACCCTGGTATTTATCAGCAGAAGCTTTTTTCCTGCAAGAACCAATTTATTTAATTGAATAGTTTAAAGGGCTCCAAAACCACATACAAAAGATGAGGTTATAGCTAATAGCTTTCAAATACACTTAAAAGCTTGAATCATTAGCAGTTGCTTAAACTAGGAACTTTTAAGTGCAAGCCAGAATTTATTGCAAACTAATCTTAGTATTGTGATTTTTCTCATTTCTTATCTGAGTATTAAGTTCCTAAACACATTTATCCACACAATTTTTTTAAAAGGTAAATAAATCCAGTTCTTCACATTTTACAAAAAACTGAGGCATGCAATTCCAGAAGAATTGGAATGCTGTAATGCTGCTCCAGATGAGAAATTTTTGGCTCCCTATGCCTTAGAAGAAACAGGCATGAAAGGATGGCACACGAGAAACTGCTTCAGTGCAGTAGCTATTGGGAGATTGTAGTCCTACACACAAAATCCACCTAGAGGCTAAAGAATCTCATTTCTAGCTCTTACCCAAGCAAATATTTTGATATTTCTATGAAAATGGAAAAAAAATTTCTGTAGATGGGCCATTGCTCAATGCCCTGGGGATAAGAAATGAGTTACCACTGAGAAAGATACAGGTTCAGATCTAGTCCAGGAGGGAATATCCAATTTCTTTGTGTCCAATCAGTGGGCTAGGGAATGACAACAGTGGTATTATTCCCACACTTCCTCTGATCAAAGAAGTTCTGCACGTGACTGGGTATGGATTAGGCATGTATGTCATAAGATCAAACACTACAAATGAAAAATGAATGCCAGCATAGTTCCTCTTAGCTTTATGCTAAATGGATATAAAAGTAGATAAATAAATTTTTAAGACATGAAAATCACTGCCTCTGACTCACAAAAGTGGAAAACAAGACCACACTGACAACCTGTTAAATGGTACTATTAACCTGAGATTATTGGTGTGTAGAAAAAGGCAAGAAGGCAGAAAGTCCAATATTCTTTTTCAGAATTATGATGAATGTTAAAAAAATTAGGGAAAACCTAAGCTTCTTTGAAGAACTGAAGAAAATCCTGCAGGAATCAATAGTAAGATTGCTATCAATATGTTTGGAACAGATCCAAAATTATTATCTCTGACATTAACACAAAGAAATTGCAGCTGTTTGCATTTATATTTCCTTTTAGCAACAGTGGAAGAATGTACTAGGGCAGAACAGAGTTAACCCTTTCTCTGGCATGCTTCACATGCACAGATTGGATATTTTTAAAATTCCTTATCTTAAAAAAAATATGAGTTTGGTGACTTGGATTTTTTCTTTTGTTTGTGTTGTGGTTTTGTTTGTTTGGGATTTTTTTTATTCAAAAAAGCAATTCTGTCTGTATGGAACCACAGAAAAATATGACATTTCAAATGAAGCTGTTGTCTACATCTGATCACCCTTAACCATGAAGGAATGATGCAGGAGCTTCAAAGGAATAAGGACCTGACAAAAAACCAAACAATTACATAATATACTATAAAGATTAAAACTGAATGGCAAATTCTGAAAGTTTGTTTTTAAAATAATGTTTGGTTTTGGTTTTTTTTTGTTTTTTGAAAAGCTTTAAAAAAAAGCTTCTACTCCAGTGGAAATGTGTTGAGTTAAATTAGATTAAGCATCTCTAGATCTAATCTACTAATTCCAATTAAAGAAAAGTGCAATGGTGATGGCAGCCAGGATTCAGATTATTTTAATTTAGATCAGAGTACAAAGACAGTCTTGAACTATAACTTAAGAACCTGAAATAGTATTTAACCTTTACCTTGATATTGCACAAGATGCCAACTACTCTATAACCCATAAATAGAGAGTATTTAATAAAATATGACATACCTATCAGATAAATTACTAAATTCAGACATATGTACTTGTCTTAACAATTACTCTGGTTGTGGACTTACTCCTGCATGGGTTTTTAATAATTTCTGCATATCATTACAAGCCACAAATAGTTATAGTCATTCATCTAGAAATCACAAAAAGATTTGTCCAATTCTCTATGAACTCATTAAGTTTTACAATACATATGACAAAATCATACAAGCCAAAGCAAGAATACTTCTGCTATTTACATACTGTGATAAATAGTGCAACAAACATGAGTGGAAATGAGAAAAAATCTAATATAATATTAAAACCATGCAAAATCTCTTTTCCAATCTGTTTCCATATGTCTGTATGTTTTCTACCTCTTTCAGAATACATTAAATTCTGAATATGTAAAACAATCCACTCTTTTTCACAGCATATATTTATGTATTTCAGATCATGAAGAATGAAAAAGTCATAGCCAGTGCAAATGCTTGGGCATACTGTTCTCCTAGAAAATCAATTTTCTAGTTTTTTGAATAACCATCAAATAATTAAGAACAAAATGACAGTAAAAAGCATCTGTTACTAGACATACAAATAAATCCCCTTTCAGAGAGTGGAAGTAACTCTCCTAAATTCATTACTTGTTTCAAACTTAATTAGAATTAAACATAATTGACTACTAGAATCATATCAGCACTTTTTATGTAACAGAAATGTTTTTTTCATCTAGTACAGAAAGTTTTGAAATAAACCCCAATATCTAAACACATCTGGATTTTGGAGACATCTGCATTTGCAACTTTCAGTTAGTTCCATTTAAGTTGGAAATCTCTGTCAAAATACTTCACTGAAATACACCCTGAAAATTCAGGAAATTGGAAATAAAGTCCACACGTGAATTTTACAGCTGGGGCTTCTTTAGTTACAATGTACCTGGAGGCAAACCACATGAACAAAATGATTCTAAACAATCTTCAATGTAAGTAAAGTATAAACTCATATATGACAATCAGTGGAAGTGTTTTGCATTTCAAAATTATAGAGACACATCTTTGTATTGTGGCCTGAAGCAAGTATCACTGATCATTTTTAGTATGCTGGGACAAGGATATTGGTAACAAATTTTCATGACAGACACACACACTCAATGAGATAATAAATTAGTTTCCCAAGTGAAGGCTCACTAATAAGATTGGATCTAAAATTTAGGTCACTTAATTTTAAGACTCAGCTAATGGAGTAAAAAAAAAAGTATAACTTCATAACATAAATTCAGATTCAATCTTTTTTACCATAAACATTAGCACCATTGTAAAGTTGCAAAGAGTAAGCTTCTTGTGAAATGAAATGATCTAATTGTAAAATGCATTTGAGATCTCCTTGCCGGGAGGTTATTTCTAAAAGAAAAATAAAATATTCTGTATTACATTATGAAGTTATAAAATTTAAGCAATTAATTTTTAGTGCTGTGTAAAGTCTGATGTCACTGGAAAGATAAATTTGTAAAACTTCTTTATAATATGATTTATTGATTCTATATCAAACACAGTGCTTCTTTTATTTGCAAATACCAGACTTATTATACAATCAAAGAAACTTTACCTTTTCTTCTTTAGCATTCAGAGGTAATCAGAGTGTGAAAGTCCTTTAACTCCTTGACAATTATAAAAGAAAATTCCTAGCCTGATAAGGTTAGAAATAGGACATTTGGCCTGTCACACACAGAAATAAAGTATTGTGAATTTATACTCCCAGCTTATTCTGGTTACTAGAAGTTCTTTTCATATAATATACCAACAAATTTTCCACTTACAAGGCAAATAAAATTTTCTGAAAGGCATGTTTTACAAGGTCATGTAGTGATAGAACAAAGGGTAATGTATTTAAAGTGAAAGAGGACAGATTTAGCTTAAATATAAGGAAGAAATTCTTTATTGTAAAGGTGGTGGGGCACTGGAGCAGGTTTCCTGAAGTTGTGGATGGCCCATCCCTGCGAGTGTTCAAGGCCAGGCTGGACGAAGCCTTAAGCATTCTGGTCAAGTGGAAGGTGCTCCTGCCCATGGCAGGCAGTTGGAACTGGATGATTGTTTAAGCCCTTTCCAACCCAAACCACTCTATTATTTTTAATGTATTGCAAATCCCTCTTCTCCATCTTTGTCAGTGTCCAAAACTTACCATTTCCATTCTCTACTATGGCCAGTGGTTCTCTGCAAACTGTCGTCTTTCTCAAGGGATTAATAGTCCTTTGAACTTCTGCCAGCAGCACTGCTTGCATTGCCTCAATAATCTGTCATAAATGCAAATTATTATTGGATGATATCAGTACCTCAATTATTTATCTAAGTATTAGGCTATTTTAACCAACTAGCACAAAATCTGGAGACTGTCCTGCTGAATGTCAATAGAAAGTCAACACATATTAATAAGTCTTTCAGACAGGGATAATCATGTGCCTCTACATACACATTGAGAAAAAAAGGTTAACTAGATAGCAATAAAATAGTGTAAGTTGTCAGTCAGGACTGCTTCCCAATAAACATTCATTTTCTTTAATGTCAAATCTAAAACCAGTCTCCTTCTGCCTCCTTGACTTCAAGGATAAACAATTACTAACAAAATATGCTAGGAAAGCACAAGACAATAATGGCTAATAAGTATTTTCATTCTTTTTTTCTGATTCATGCAAAAGTGCTTGATAGGCTGAATAACGACCTTGTTGTCTTGGGGTGATTTGGTTTTGACTTTTTTAGAATTTTTGGCATCTAATCTCTCTGATAAAATTTAAAGAATGTTTTGATATTAGTGGTGATGCTCTATTCCTCTAGCTTAAACATAACACCCCCGCATTTTTTGTTTAACATGGAGAAATACCATTCTTCAAACTTTTCTTATGCAAAAGGAACAGCTACTGGAGTTGTGAGCAGCCTGTAAATGGCACTTGCAGTAGCTGGTGCACCTCATGTGGGCACTGGGACAATGCAGTGTGGAGACTGACTGAGCAAACACTTTCCTTCTCTAGCAAAAAGGTGTCATAATAACTAAGGATATTTAAAGATGTAAAGATGCTTTAAAAGCACACAAGCACCTTAGACAAAAGACCCCAAACCTTTGTAATTCTTAGTCTAAATTTAAGCTTGGTGCACCTTCTTTGCATTTGGCATTTCCTTCAAAAAAAGAATACAATTTTTCCCATTTGGGAAAATATTCATTCTCAAGTACAAGAAATTTCCTGAAAAACAGGGTGAACTAAGGTTTCAACCTCAACTTACATATTAAATTGAATAAAAAACTTCAATATATTTTATTATATATTTTAAGCTTATATCCTACTTATATTATAAAAAAGCTATTAAAATTAGTTGAGTTTCACATTAATTGAAGATGATATGCAGAATCCTTCAAACTGGCTGGAAGAGAGATCATTTCAGCTCACTAATCAAGTGTCTGTCCTCAAAAATATCTCTAACTGCCCTTGTAAATTCAAATGATGAAGTGGAACAAAGGCTCTGGGTGTCCTTTGTGAAAAAATTCTTTATTGTAGACAAATATACCATAGTCAGGTCCACAATGTAAAAGTTCACTGCAAGTGAACCCAGCCCTATGTGATTAAACATAGCACAAACCTTCATCTTGTTATAATAGAACTTTATTTTATAGGGGACACCAAAGGCAGTTTCCAGCTCCTCACATCTATACAGCCCTGAGCTTTGGGGATTACAGATCCTGACTTTGCAGCACACTCTTACAATATATCTACAATAATTAAGAAAGAGAAGGAAACACAAGCATGTTTTCATTGTCCTGGGGAAATTTTTGACAAAACAATTCTTACAGAGGTACACACACAACAGAAATCTGCTAAGAACTTGCCACTTCATCTGGATCAGATGCTCTTCACTTGTATCACTGCTGTGCATGCCAGGCAGCTTTTGTAATAACTTACTCTAACATCTTAAAGCAAAGAACTGTAACAAATGGCACAACATGATATTACTGTAGAGACACCTGTAGATGTCTCTGTATGTTACTTGACTGTGTCTTTGTTGTACCTGCATTTCCACAGTGCTTGGTGTGGTTTCACATTTAGTTTTGTCTTCTCATGGAATCTTACTCCAAAATTTATATACCTCATCTATCCTTATCACCAAGTTTAACTATCTCCAGCAGTTTTTCTTGTTTTTAAAACATAACAAATATACATGAGCACCTTTCACTTTTTCTGATAATTTCCACTTTAGAGTTCTTCTGGATATAAATTAGCTACCTTATTGGCTACATATACTTTCAATTTTTTCCCTATAATTGTAATTGCTGTTGAAAATACAATGTGCTTTTTAGTTGGGATTGTTATATGTGATAAATTATGCTGTTTCTTTGACTGAGGAAGTATAAATAGCATATGTCAACCTATAAATAATGATATTAAAAGTGAAAGATAATTGCTTGACTCTGAAGCAGCAATAATACAGAATAATTCAAAAAGACAAGTGAACAAAAGTTGAGGTAAGTTGTACTGTTACATCTATACTAAGTTATCCTGGCTTTCCTTTCTACACTTTATCAATTACTTCAATTCTCTTCCTAATGAGTGGGTTTAAGGAGAGAAGTCAATAGCTATCACTCCTGGTTATTGCTCAGGCCATAACCTCTACAGGTCTGAGCCTTGCAGAAACTGCCTCCCAGGTGCCTCCATAACACAGTCACTTAACAGAGCAAAAAATACACATTGAAACATTAACCTGAATGGTCCAGTCTGCTTTGCTCTAATTCTGCACAGTAATTGTCAGGAAAGCTGTCTACATACTTCTACTGAACTGTATATTTTTCTTCATATATCTGTCTGGAAAGGTGAACACACAGGTAATTTCTGGGTGGGACTGGAGTGTGGCAAGGAATGGCTATATTTTTTCTGAATGAACAGCAAAACAGATGACCTTTCCTTTCAAACCATCTGGGGAAAGAAAACACTAAAAAAATACTTTTAACACATACACATTTTTAAAATTTGATTCAGAAAATGGCAATCCTACAATATTCAGTTTCAACAAATCAGTTGATAAAACAAGACCCTTGATAAAACATTTGCAGCAGGTTTTTTCAGCAGGCTTTTGCAGTTTCTTTTTTTACACACAATCTGTTACAGTGCTGTAAGGGGATGAGGTATCAATAATTGGTAACTCCTTTGGGTCAAGTCTCAGAGTCACTATCCTTCACAGAAGATCATAATAGAAAAAATTTTTAAAAACAGCCTAAACAGTGATGTTTTTGGTAAATGTACACGAGTGCTTAACTAGGCTGCTCAGGACTAATACATTGGTTGTCAAACTGTGATTAAATAAAGTTTTAACAAAACCATTTTATTGTCAACAAAACCTATCATTTCATACCGCTAGTCACTAAATATCATACCAACTAACAAGGTCTTTTTTTTCCTGAATCTTGAAATTTTTATGGCACTTTGGTGGCAAGAAATCCAAAATCTGCGCTAAGTGGGCTAACAAAGCTTAGTGCAGCTACAATGCTGTACATGAATAATGTTAAAATTGGAGAAGCGTCGAGAGCATGATATTTGCAGTACTTGACAATTTAAGTGTCCAAATTTAAAGTCTTTTCATGTGAAAAAATGTGAGACAGCTTATTCCATACCTGATCTTCCAGCACACTGACCTCCTGTGCTAGATAAGACCACTATCATTGTATACTCTGATCAGTTGCTAAATACACTCAAAAATATAAATAACTAGATAATCAATTATTCCACAAACACAACTTCCATAAATATATGAACTACTCTCTAAAGAGTTTTGCTGACCAGGTCAGCAAGAGATTATGTACATTCCACATGACAATTGCAGTTATTGAGGTGTCAAAATAAAAGGAAAAAACTTTAAGAGAAAGGGAAGAGAAAAATAATTCAGAAATAATATGGAAGATGTGCAGATAGCAGGAATATAACAAACAACTGATAAGTACAAGATGGAATGCTGGATTCAATTGAATGTGAATATTTGCAGAAACTATTTTTGTCTAACAGAGCAGGCAGGCTATCACTGCAGCACCCTTGCAAAAATACAGCTCTGGAAAATCTTTGCATTTGAAGCAGCAGAGAGTTGCATTCAATTTCAAAAGTAATATCATAAACTAGATTTGTAATAGGTATTTCCCCTTTCTGGAATAAAATCTATTGTGGTCAGAGTATAACATCTTGAGTTTCGTATCCCTGAATATCAACCCACTCAAACAACTTTATTTAAATGTATATTTCCAAAATGAAAAATGGTCTCTAGATTTCACTGCTTAGGTTGTTTCACTGCTGCCTGTCAACTCTCAAAAAGTTATTTATCTCTCAAGACTTCAGATTCTTAACTAATAATAAGGATAAACATCATCTGACCTGAAGAACCCATAATTACATGACTTGCAAGTTGTTCTTAAAGAATGCTCTAATAATTATAGACTCAGGATATTTACCCTTTGCTAAGGTATTTTCAGTTTCTTCTATAGTAATACATTAATATAGGACACTGCCCTTATTTTGGCCTTTTGTTTTCCTGGAGCCAAAAATGGCATTTTTGATGTAAGCTATGTGTAGCTATGTGTCAGAGAAAAAATAACTAATTTCCTAAATAAATGCTATGAACAGGAGCACTTCGATGAAAGATTAGTAGGAGAGTTACTCTGTCATAACTAAACATTTACTTTAAGGCTAAATAGTTTCATGAGTGGCATACTTCATACTGTAACACTAATCTGCTTTCCACAGACCTGAATAGCACGACTTATGTAATAGTTTCCCCATAAATTATAACTATTAGGTCACATTACTGATTCCAAATACTAAATTACAGCAAATGGCACTTAAGGATTACATTGCTACGACTGACACAGGCTATTTCCTACCTTTACAGATTGGTCATTCCAACAACAAATGAGTTTCAGCAATGAAATGCTCCCAAAGTCTGGGGAATGATATCTACTCTTACCTGAAAAACACAAATATACTTTATGGACTGACAATATATAGAGAAGCACACAAACATAAAAATATTTTCAGCAACATACCTGAAAAGACCTGAAAAAATTTATTTTCTTAGAACGTGCTCTCATCTGTTTCAATAAGCACAAAGTGTTCAGACAATCTATTGCTTTAACATTTATTCTCATCCTAAATTAAATTACTGTTGGGTTTTTAATTCTTTCTCCCGGGTTTTTTTGTTTGTTTGTTTTTTTGAACAGAGAAGGGTTTTTTTGTTTGTTTGTTTTTTTGAACAGAGAACTGATATCTCATGGAGTAATCTTTCATCACAATTTTCTAAATATATTAAAAATACCTACTCTTTTAGACTACTTAACTATGCATTCCCTGTTCTGATGTCCAGCATGTCCTTGATGCTAAAAAACAGGTTGTTCCTAGAATCTGAGATCTGCATGTCTCAGATTAGATTTTAATTTGTAAATCTGAACAACTGTATGAAGTATGAGATAAGGTGTATGAGTTAGATTACCTTAGAATTTTTAGGTCACTCAGTAAATCTATTTTTATGTTCATGTACCTTTTAGTCACCTCTATTTCCATACCTTTCCCTTACCTATTTTCTATTGTCACTTGATTTTATGTTCCATCTCTTTTTTCCAAATGGACAGTTCTGCTGTCATTGCAAGTTCTATAGTTTTGGTGCATATTAGACTCAGAGAAGGAAAAATAACTTATTTTTGATGGGGATATTAAGATTTATCTATACAGCACAGCATCATGATTTGATGTAAAAGAACTTGTGTTTTCAGTCTAGACATGGCTTATTCTGTGAGAGGAACACTGTTTTAGTCAGGTAATGTGTCCTGACAAACATCCATATTCTGTTCAGGTTTTTATTTAAATGTTCTTTGGTTAGTTACATACAGTAAACAAACCAAGGCTGGCTTGCAAAGCCAAGATTGACGAGCAATGGCCTGTGGGACATTAACAGGAACAGATTACTTTATTCTGCCCTGAGCCAGAAGTCTAAAGGCATTATTGAACAGTCAGGGTGGCTCTTGCATTACTAAGGCAACAGTTTGCTTGGAGGGCTGTATATATTATTGGGTGGGCACATAATGGTGATGAGGGAGATGGGGGAAGGGGGTGAGGGCAGTGATTGTCTTATTACATTTCTGCTTTTCTGATTGCTGGAAAGTGTCTTTAGAAGCTCAGCTAAATGTCTTGTCATAACAGGAAAATTATCATTGATTCCAGTTAACACTTTGTTTACACATTTTTCTCAATGTTCACAGAAGAAACGGAGTAATTCAGTTTCTCTGTTTGCAGATTGGACAGCATAAAGAGCAATACTTTTATCATTATTGAAATTAAATTCCATATTTTAGCAACAAAAAGCATGCAAAAACAGAACACTTAAAAGTTAATACTGCCAATTTATATACTTACTGCTTGGTAAGTCTCCATAAAAACTGGAGCATGAAAGTGTTACAGCTTCTACATTTCGCCATTTGTCATGTACAGATTCTGGTTTCTGTGGACTAAAGTAATAAGAAACTATTAAACAAAACCTGAACACAAATACGAGAAATCTTATGTATTAAGGTATGGTTGGGTTTTTTGTACAGTAGGTACTCTGATATAAATTGCCATCAACACCAATTAAGTTTCTCCTCAGAAGTCACTCACATTCTTTTGCCTACAACTTGGTATTGAAACATTCATAAATATGCAACACTAAAAAGCAACATCCAAATTAAGGAACTTAAACCTAATAAGCTTTGAGCCAGATGTAAAGATTTATTTTGCAATAAAGAAAGAAATTCATATGTAAAAAACTGAATTAAAATACCATTTTCACAAAAGAATTTGTCTGGGGTTTTTTTTCTAATACATAGGACAAAAGTTCAAGGGAAACTAAAAGCCTTTTTTTTATAGGTTTCTTTTTATTTTCCACAGTGGTAAATAATTTAGAGTATCATTACAATACTTGGGATTTCAGTGGATGGCTAAAATTTAGGAGACTAGCGTGTATATATGCTTTCCGAGCATATGTGACTCTTTCTGAGTCACTAACTCAGCAACCTAACCCTTGAAAACAAAAGACATGGAGGGCAGAGAAAAAGTGAAAAAAACCACTGCAAACCCTTGCACAATTTAAACTATTTATTTTAGATAAATCATTATAGTGACCTGCAAAAACTACATTTATGGGTCATTTTAAAAATAATATATTTGCCTTTCAAATTCACTACAATGAATACCGAGTCATAACATTCCAAATGACTTTACAATACCAAACAACTCTGAAAGCTTGCAGCTTGAGAGCTTTAAGTTAGAAACATAAACATCAAAAAGCAGAAGAAAACAAACTCTGTGAAGATCTTTCCTTCCCATCTTCTTCCTGTTTCTGTCCCACTTATATGATCTGACACATTTTCCTGCACATTCCTTTTTTTTCACAGGCTGTGTCAAGTTGCAAAAAAACAACAGACAGACAAACACCAAAACCTGTGCAAGCTGTGAGAGCAGTCCTACTAACTACTTCTGCAAATGCTGCAGTGAATTAGAATTCAGTATGTAGGTTTCTTTTCCTTTGAGCATATTGCAGTTTTGGATAAAGTAACTGTCCAGAGAGGTTTGGCTGCATACTGTACTTGGTGAAGGAAAACTAGCAAAAATAACATTTGCTAAAGTTGGTAGAGTTCATGTGTTTATGTATCCTGGAGAAAACTTAAAATTATATAGAATTGTTCTGAAGAAAAAAAAAAAAGAACATTTTTTCCTTGCAGCAACTTTAATACTTTTAATTTTACAGGATATATGTCCCAAAGCCAGGACGTGCATGTCTGGGAAAAATGTTTGATTCTGGTACGCTAATCAATTTCACTTACACAATGTCTTTCCAAAAGAGTGCTGCACAAGGTAAGCATAAAGTAATTTTTTGCATAGAAAAGAATTCATGTTCAAGCTGGAATCCTGAAACAAATATTCATATAAGAGATTGTATTGAGTATGGAGCAATAGGCAACATGATTAGCAGTAAAAGCAACTGAGAAATGTGCATTTGTCCCGTGGGATGGTGCACATGTCTTGAGAGATGCTGAGTGCCTAGAGCTTTGTGGGAAACACAGATATTTACTGCAAGATGAGTATTTTCTGTCCCCCCTTCTTGCCTTAGGGCCATAGCATCACCAACACTGAAGTTAATTGTCCCTAAAAAACTAAATACAAACCAACACTATGTTTGCCAAACAACAAAAAATCCGTGGACAATATCCATTGCCTCATTAACATGCTCTATTTGGCTTGGTCAAATAACATTGAGCATGTTATTTTTCCTTTAATGCTGAAAAAGCATTTAGTCAATAAATTTGCTTTGAGTACCACAAAGCTATTCAGGATGGTCCTCACAACATAAGAGCTGATGAGGCATTCATTCCCAGTAGGTGCCATCACTACTGGGGGCATTGTACTATAGATAATATAACTAGGGCAGACTGTTCTTCTCTCATGTTTTATTTATCTCTGAAGTCAAGGGTTCCATGGCAAAGGAGGTATATTGCTTATAGGGAGTGGAAGTTTAAACAGCACAAATGTGCTTAATGTACATCTCACTTTGTGCCTAAAGAGACCTCATTACTCTACTTAGTTTGAACTCCAAGAAAGAGAGTGATCTCTGGAAAAACTGGGTGTAAGGCTGGATAATTCAAGTTCTTGCTCTAACGAAAAAAATCTTCCATCCGTTCTCATCTGCTAAACTGAAAAATGGAAATACACTTAATTATATGCTGATCACCTTTCCTTCAAAGAACATCTGTCAAAAAGCTCTAGAGAAAAAAACATAAGCACCATTAAAGAAGTACATATTTAAGAAAAGTTTGTTTCATTTTTTAACCACTACAAAGGAAGACTCAGAATATCCTTAGTTGGAAGGGACCCACAAGGACCATCAAGTTCAACTCTTAAGCAAATGGCCCAGAGACGGATTGAATATCTCAGTGATATTTGCACTGTTCTCTAACCAGCTGAGCTAATCTCAAGGTCAGACAGAAGGAGCACAGAAGCTGAAAGTATGGAGATGTACTCCATGAAGATCCTTTTCCCAAAAGGTATGTGACTGGCTGCGTGTTACCTAATAACCGCTTCAGAGGTAAGGTTTGGGACAGGAATAATACTGATTTAATAATTTATGTTTAGAGATCACTCTGCTGTGACTTGTTCTTCAAAATCAGGGTGTTGTCTTGGTGTTTTATTTTATGGCATCCCTCATTTTTATGTGTTTTCAGGGCACAAAGGTACAACAAAGTGCATTAGTGTGACTAGGAGGAATCGGGTCTAGACACAGAGACATTAGAAAATTTAATCCATTCATAATGAAGATGTTCTTACCTTTCAATTTCATCGGTAACTGCTGAAGATGTGTTAATTATCCTGTTGATAAAAGCTATTCTGCTAAATAAGAAAAATACTGTTTCCAAGTCCCTTGCTCCATAATCATCATTCTCAGGTTCATCCTTCTTTCCAGATTGTCCTTCAGTTGCAGCAAGGTATTTGTTTGATAAATCAAGGACCCTTTTTGAAAACAAATTGAAAACTTCATGTTCTCCTGGCACACCACAATCACTACATTTCCATCCTGGTAACATCAGTGAGAGGTGGCTTTCATCTGACACAAGCCCAAAAGAAACAGGGCACTGAAGCCTCGAGATATCCAAGTGTCTAGCACAGAGATTGTCTATTTCTTTATCTAAACCCCATGGTAGGAGACATGACAAAAACAGTTTAGCTGTATCGGTGGTGACGTTCACATCGATGTTTCCTGAGGGCTGCATTCTGATCTTCCTTGAGCTCTTCATTTTTTTCCATCTTTTGATGCCTCCACCCTCTTCCACAGGCCTAGCTGCATTATTATCCCTATGAACTTGGTCTGAACAAACAGTCTCTGCCTGCCCATCCACTCGAGGTACGAAGGCAGCACTTTTATTTCTTTTTAATGTCAGTGCCCTTTTCTCAGTAGTACTTTTGGCTCTTTCTAGAGTGGATTGGTTGTGGAATGATTTTGATGATTTTAATCCATTGAGTTGAGATGAGAGAAGTTCCTCAAGTTTTTCCAGGTCAAATAAGAGAATATGAAAGTTTGCATTGTTCCATTTTGTCTTAGCTGGTAAAATAGTAAAGGGTTGCTGGATGAAGCTGGTATCAGTCAACTGAAAGAAAAATATTAAATGTCCAAACTAAAATCCAACAGTACTGTGTAAATTTCAAGACAGCAACATGGAATTGCCTATGGAATAGACAAAACCTATTAGCTCCTTTAAGTTCAATTTCATTATATTTATTCAGTTTTGATTAAGTAAAAAAGATTTGCTTCCAAATAGCTTAAGATACGCAGTGACATCTGTGTGTAAATTCTATAAAACAGGCTCCTGAATGTCTTCAATTATACAACCATACTATAGATTACACATATCTTCACAAAAATTCTAGGCTGGTGTTTCTACTGCGAAGTCTTATTTCAAGCTAAAAACATTTTTGGAAAATTTTAAAGCATAAAACCTTTTTTTTTTTTTTAAACTAAATCTAGATAAGCAAATCCTACAATACTGCAAAATTCTTGCAAACCCCCAGTGTCTGTATGCCTTTTTGCAATTTGTTATATGGGATATATATTTATATATATAGATATATATAGAGGATTTGTATGGGATAAAGACTATGCCTTTTGCTATTTCAAAACATGCAATGCTACCTAAAAGTTACATCCTGCTGAGATAAGTCACGTATCAAGAACAATAAGGTAAGGAGAACAATACCTAGGTAAATAAATCACACACAAAATTGTCTTAGCTGAAAATAATTAAGAGAAAAAGGCTACTTCAATGTTTGTGAACATCTGAGTACCTTGTGCCATCCTATTTCCTACCTGCATCTTTCTAGAATTCTCCATACTTTTTCCCCAACTTTGAAGCCCATTCACAGTAATGGCAATTTGTAAAGCATAATTTCAATTCTATATACCAGCATCATAAATACACATGGCTAATTAGGGTTGTTAATAAATGACCAAAGAAAATTTGAGAAGAGCTACAGCTGCTCTCAACTATAGACTCACATGTTAAATTACAGAAGTAACTTAACAATGATGGAACTGTCAGCTGAACATAAGGAAATGTTCAAATACATCTTCACAAAAAATAAATAAAAATTATTCCTTTAAAGCCTTGCAGTTTCATTATTTAAATGATAAATTGTCATTAAGAAGAAAATTTTACAGCTTTTATACCCTTGGCATAGAGTTGACACTATGGTGTGACAAACTATCTCCAGGCACATTGATGATGAGACAAATGAGCTGATGAGTTCACACAGTGACACAACACCTTATATCACAATCCTGCTGCACGTACTAAAGAAGTATCTTTTACCTTTAGGGAAACACCAGGAGTGAGGAAATATAAACTCCTTGTTGACACTTCTGCCCTTTTCTTTAAGCATTTATGACTGGTATGTTTTTATTGTCCCACACAACCTTATACTCTCAGCACCATGCTCAGCCTATTTCACCTTTACCAGCAGAAAGACACATCAAGAAACAACTTTTCATTTCAGCAATACTTCTGCAAACAATCATGCCAGCTTCCATATCACAGGTGATACAAAATTTTCCAGAGTACTTAGTTTTATTTTTCTTTTGATAATTTAAAACATTCCACAAATGTAAAGAACTTCCCATTGAAAATAGTTAAGCCTCAAATCATCAGGTGTTAGTAAACAGGGACGCAACCAGCTCTTGCTGCAATGTAACATTTTTTACCTCATCTTTCTCATGACCACCTTACCTGACTCCTTTTACATTACAAACTATGATTTTATAGGATTAGATACTTTTAAACTGTTACTCTCTTAGTACAAATAGCACAAGGAAAGAATTGACTACATAAACACTATGTAATTTGACTATTTAGTTTTGGGCAGTAATATAATTTGGCTTTTTGTTATTTAGGGAACAATGCTCCCAACCAGATGAGGATGTATTCTAAATACATAATCTCATCTAAAGTTCTCCATAGGGAATCATAAGTAAGAGATTATAACTGCTTGTTCAGGTTTTATTTTTATATTTTCCTTTTAAAAAAATTAATAACTTGTAGTTAAGCACAAGGGTTATTTTTATCTTTAATTATGCTGTTTCCTAATAGATAGGGAGAACCCCATGGAATGCAAACACTGGAATTCACAGGGTAGCTTTGACATTAATTGATGCTATTATTTTTTAGCCTATCATTTTTTCTTTCTATACACTCACATTTGCTCGATTAACATTTAGAAACCCTTAGTGAAATCACTATCCAAACAAAGAAAAACTGTGCCAATGTCACAATAAACATTCATGGTTTATTGGCAATATGAAAGCTTATGGACATTACTCCTAAAACTGTCTGCCAAGTTATCTTAGCTCTCTGCCACAGACATTTCATTCCAATGAAGGAAGATTTGGGCAAGTTATTCTCTGTAACAGAAGATTACAGAGAATGGAAAGACACCCATAATACTAAGTACAAACTAGAGAGCTAGAAACTGCATTTATTAAATATTGAAAAACAGATTAACAGATGTTTACATTCTATACTATACTTTTCCTTTCCTAGTTTGACCATTTCTAGCTTTAAAGTTTATTTTTGGCATAGACAGTCCACAGTTAGCTTAAAAGAAGCAAAAAGTCTGACTACAGACTAAAATTATATCCTGAGACTTGTGAACCTCTTATGCATCACTGACCCACAGTAGAATAAGCTTTCTATATCCAGGAAAGAGTAAGATTCAGGGAGGCTTTGAAATGCTAAACTATTTCCCATGCGTGGCCAGTATCCCCTAACATCTCTCTAGTTTGCCACTGAAGGTGTTTGAGCCAGGATCAGACAAGATAGAAAAGACTATTTCAGTTGGAAGGGACCTACAAGGATCATTTAGTCCAAACTAGACTCTCCAAATTCCCCTTAAACACTCACTGGTTTGGGGCATTGTACAACTCTCTCAGAAACCCATTCTGGTTTTCTGGCATGCAATTCATCACTGCTCCACAAGTTACAGCCCTGTTCCTCTTCGTCTTTTCCCCTTTACTCATTCTTAGCACCCAAGAAAAGTTTTCCTGTGACCATGGGAAGGGGGAAGCAGGGGGCTGTGCTTACTGTGGCCCCCAACTGCATCAATATATGCCATTATCTTTCACAGATTTAAGACAGACAATATCACATAAAAATTTCATGGGAAGTACAATTCAAGTGTTATTTTACCTAGCTGCTTTCTCATCTCTAAAGGCCTTTTTCCACTGGGATCCAACTTCTGGGAATGGTATTCCACTTAAAATACACACTTCCATTAGCTGGCAGGGATTCCCATACTTTTTCAGCTCCTCATATGTATGTACTTTCTCCACGTATCTGCTTTCTTTACCAGAAGTATTCTATTGTGGGTTTTGTACTAAAAACAGATTTGACAAGAATGATTTTGACATTCATTTTACATAAAGGAAATAAAGTGGCAAAAAATCACACAGCAGAAATTTTAGAAGGCAAACAAGACTCAAAACGTATTTAGAGGCTGCTTTGATACCACTGAATAGAAGTTGCTCAGTTCTCACAGCACAAGTAATATCAACTCCTATGCCAAACAAATCCTCAAGTATTAAACATGGCTTTCTTCCAGACTTTCGGCCTTCTTTACCCCATTGCATTCTCACTTTATCCCAAATATAACAGAAAAGAAGTGGTAGGAAATTGGTGCCAAAGTTCCCAGCGCTCGCAGAATGAATCACGATGTACAAAGCCTAAGTGGGAGCTATCCTGTTAATAGCTCATATGCTGATTCTAAATAAGTTTTTTTAATTATGTAATATTAAAGGGGTTTAATTCTGGTCATTCTGTTCCTTTGAGCTGTCCCCTTTGAAAGAACATATTCTGGTTCAATAACACTGAACAAGTTCAATTCCCTCCTTTATCCATTGCTTGCCACCTACAAAGGCTCAAGAACATATTAGAGAGAAATTAAAGAACTTACTTCAATGGGAATTTTTAGGTACATTAGGCAGGGGGAGACTGGGGAGGGGAATGTGTAGAGCTTAACTGAAATAGTGCCAAAGAGACTGGAAGGCTCTTTAATTCACAGAAGGTGCACTGTGCACTAACTTTTTATTACACTACAAAGAAAATAAAAACTTTTAAAGGCTGTACGTATGTCCAAATCAGTCTTCATTAACTCTAACAATTACTAACAGCAAGCATTTTGGTTTTAAAAACTAAATTGTGGAGAACCTGCTACAGAAGTGAAAGAGAAGGGTAGCAGAACTTGTCAAACAAAAAAATTGTATTGATGAGTAAGAATTTTCTCTATCTTGATCAGGCCAGTCACAGGATTGTCAACAGAAGTTCAGAGGTCATAACTTCTCAGAATCACATCTCATCACTAATCTGGCCCACAAAAAAATACGTACATCACACATCTGCTTGTAAAAGCTATTTAGGTACTCCTAAATAAAAATAAATGTAACAGGAGGGTTCCTGTTACATTTGCACTTGGTGGAGATTGAAGGACTGTTAACTGAAGCATGGCCCCCACACCTAAGGGTCTTAAACATTAAATTATATTGCCAATGATAGCTCTTTTATTCTATATAATGTTTTATCCTTGATGGTGGAAAGGAATATCTGTGTTAGCTTTTGTTTGATTTAGGTTTGCATTTTTCATGTTTTTAACTACTTAATAGGTTAAAAAAATTATATTTTCTTAAAAAGATATTTTTCTCTTCAACCTTTTTATTGAGAACAGTAGCATAAGAGAAAGTACCTGCAAATGTGTCCTCAAAACATAAATCTTTCTCATGTATTGTTTTGCAAAACAGGAAAGTTGTAACTGTCTCTTGAATTGTCACAGAAAACAAATACATAAACAATGCACAAAATGGCTGGCACTGTGTAAATTAAAGCATTAAATTTATTTCTAAATCCTCTGAGCCCTCAGTTGCTAGAGATGGTAGTCGATGGGAGCAAAAAAAAATTGCCTCCTTGAAATGTGCTTGGTGAACAGCAGCTTGATGATTGGCAGCACAAATAGAAGACAAACGAGAAAGCCTTCAATCTGCAGCTGATGCACAGGAAGAACATGGGGAGCTGAGTTTACAATAGAGAAAACATTACCAAGTTAATGGCAC